TTCAGTTCAGTTTTTTCCAAAGACATTTTCCTCAAAAACATAGTCCCACTGAAAGTTTTTATTTCAGTAAAGTGGCTTTTTTGGACACACAATTCCACGAAAGAAAATTTTTGAGCAGCTCTAACTATTACTGTGAGTAGGCTCAGGGAGGCCGTACTAGATAGAAATTGCTGTTTTGCTGAATTCCCTAGCAATAAAAACCTACATGTGGGTACACTGTTCAAGTCAGTGAACCTACCTACAGTACAGATTGGACATCCTTGGTCCAGCACCCTCAGGACCTGACTGATCCTGAACGAGGGAGTTTGCCAGACCAGCGGAGATCAATTCCACCCCTATGCTGGTGGACTCTGGGTTCTCCCAGGGTCCGTTAGCAAACCCAGAAGGACTCCCATCTCAGCCACAGGACTCCCCTGCCACTGGGCTCCCAGATCCACTCCCTGTGTCCCTAGGTTCCTCGGGATCTCTGGTCCAGGGGCTCTCTGGTCCAGCAGCATCCATGGCCCAAACAGAGTGTCCTGGACCAGAGAGGTTTGACCTGTAGTAAGCACCATATATAGTAGTGAATGGTTTCAGGAAGCCCTTCAACTTAGTACTATTTTCTCTCTCGTTTGTTGGGAAGCAGTTTGGCACAATGGTTAGTGGCTCCAAGTTACTGATCTTTCCTGAGACTGAAGTCAACATTATGATGGAGGTTAAAAGCTTCTGCAGGGGCACCTTCAGTGTGGTTATTTCCTTCCCCCTCCATGTCTCTGATTAGTTTAGAAATTACTACAGTATTTGCAAACCTCCTCAGAGGTGAAGGAACTGAACCATAATGAGGGACACCAATTAGAAAACTCAGCATGAAGCAGGGACTCGGGGGCAGATCTGCTCCAGTCAAAGGGTAATAAACATTTGGAACAAGAGGGAAAGTATCCGAGATGTAATAAAGGAGATCAGGAGGCAGCAAGGATGGCTTCTGGAGATAGAGGGGATTAAGATTCTGATAGAAAAAGTGAGACAGAAGGATTAAGCTAGAGGCAAACTTTTAAAGGGGCAGGCATGTTAGACCAGATAGCAGGGTCCCCTGGCTCCACGTCTCTTCCCACAAAAGAAATGCTCGTGTTGTGCATTTTTATCTATTCTTCCAAGCTGTCTTATTTCAGTGAAAGGGGGCACTCACAGCTACGAGGAACCATATTGTGCCATTTGTGTGTAATGACATGTCATCTCTGAAACAAAAACACAGTGATCTCCTCTATGCATTTCATTTAGTGGCTGTTTGTAAAATCTTGAGTAGTTAAACCCAAAGCCAGCCTCCAGTTGCTATAATGTGTGATTTTGTGCTGATAAACCAATGAATGCTGCAGTTTGCATCCCTGCAGAGGTGAACTGAGAACTTAAATAGCTGTCCTGTGTTGCACCATTCTTACTTCAACAATAGCACACTTATTTCACAGCCCTACTTTAGTTTACCCTCGCTATACGGCGTGGTTACAATGCAGATGCTACCTGACAACCTCAGCTGTTTGTGAGAACTGGCAGACAATCACAAACAAGTGTGCTATGACCCCCAATCCAGGAAAAAAATCCCACCCTGTCTCAAAGGGTTACATAAAGAGTCAACAAAACAAAAGAGTTACCCACAAGGAGTTACATTCATGGGGAGAAACAGAACCACATTGTTCTTCTCTGACTGTCAAACAATGAGGTTCAATGAGAAACCAAGTCCTAAACCA